ACTCTGACAGCTCCCAAACCTGATACTCGGCCATGTCTATGTTGCAGACAACGCAGACATGTCGCAAAGAATAGCATGCAAAAATTGTAGGTTGTGCAATTTTTTTATTTAACCACTGCCAAATTAAAATATATATATAATATCTTCATGCTATCAATATTACCCCAAAATTTCCCTAATATTTAAATGCCCTTCTCATTATTTGTTTACGAATTGAACTTGTATTCATACTCTGGGGCCTTATTTGGAACACCATAACTGTGCATTATGCTCTATTTAACCATGGCTTGCATAAATTAAAAAAGTCTCCCAACCAATCACAATGATGCATTGATGGCAGTGATACTCTGGTATAATATAATTAATAATATATAGTGTAATGCAATAGGTTATTAAACATAGAAGGTGACATAGAATATAAAGGTGACCCATTTTTAAGATCTGGTCCAGACCCTTATCACGGGCTAACTAGAATATTGTTGTTTATTTGTATTTACCTTAATAGCACCATTTGCTAGTCCTACTGCAAGTAAGGAACTATCTTCACTGTATCTACAACACATTACATCACCACTAGTTTCTCTGTAGTTACAAATATAACAACAAATCAATTGTTTAGAAAGACATGTACATAAATGTTATTATTTAATGAGATATCTGTATGTCTAAACAGATCACCAGCATTGTTTGGTTTACACAGATATTTATATAAATTATATATTATAATACACAATGTTTAAGCAAAGTGTAGAATCTATATGTTTTCAGAGGTTTGCGATATGACTACAACATGATATGACTACAAGACCTAAGATCTTAGGTCTGCTTTTCTGAGAATTACCAATAATCACTAGCTCTTCAGTTAATTGACAACGACTGTGTTTTGGGAAAAATCAATCATATCTCAGTTGACTAATTCAGTCCAATTTAATGCAATTCATAATAGTTTCTGTCCTGCACTATTTTAGGTTAACCTAATCTGTTGCATTGTTTTTACATTTGGGCCTGCAAGGCCAGATGGTATGTCTGATTTCAGGAAAATTCTCATTTTCATTTGGCAATTTAACTAAAATATACTTGGCAGTTTTCAATTCAGTCTACCATTATGGGCATTCCATATATTTCATATAGCATATCTCTTATCCAGAAACCTCCACATGATAAAGTTGATACTGAAGTAAACATTGTTAGATTTAGATACCAAAATTAGATGTTAGCAGCATGTGCAATTTGATTTGAATCAAGCTACTTATCTGTGTCTAGTGAAGACACGGCAAATGTTTACATTGCTGGTATAAGACAGCTCCCAAGACCCCTAATTCTCCTTGCATGAACCAATGTTACATAATTGATACATATATTCAATGAACCAATCAAATTGTTTTCATTGGTTATCATTACTAGGTCTATAATAGAGGTCTCAGACCTTGAAATATGTTATAATCAATCATATTTATATTATATATATTTTATAGCAACCACTAAATCATACAAAATGCACACATCACTCACAGCAATAAACAGCACAGTAAACCCTGGAATAAATCACAAGTTTGGAAATGGAAGGAACAAAAACCACACATCTGAGGTATACATTCTAAAGTTGTATTGTTGGCAAAATTTAATTGGGCCAAATATCAAATTTGAAAGTTATCATAAGGTGTTTGTGAGTTATAATAATCAAAACCTGTCATATTTCGCTGTCTATCAGCTTAAGTTATTATTGTGTTCATCCTGTTATACATTGCTGCTCAAATTTTGTTTTGGGTACATGCTAATCACAACTAACCTAGGAAGTATATTTGTATATATATATTTATTTTGTATTATGGTCCATCTGAGTTATTGACTTGGTGACACCCTAGGATGCTGAAAAGTCAATCCCAAAAAAATCTATAAAAATGTTTAATAATTTTCAGCTATTGACCAACAAATATTTTGTGAATAACATAAACTCTTACATTTATATTATGCAAATTACTTGACATGACAAATAGTACAAACAAAATGTTGCCAACTATATAACTTTGAGACCTGTTTTCATTTGGTTCATGTTTATTTTGTTAATCCCAACAGGTGGCTAACTTATGGGAACATACAACATTAACAGATAACAAAATAAGTCAAAGTATGCCATTACATCACCATACATGTTAAAGGTTTGGTACAGGATTAGGAGGAGAAACCTGTTCACTTAATCTTCAAACCAGTGTGGCATGCATTTAAAAAAAACTTCATGCTGAATATATTCATGTGATAATAATTTTAAACAATTCTCTGATCCAGGCATTCTTTTGTGCACATATTCACCACTGTACTATAAGATGTAGTTAAATTCCACTCTTATAATAACATTATAAAATATGATATTACATCAGGATGCATATACACTGTAGTATGCATCGTATTGTACCTGGGATCCTGTTTAGCAGGGTGGCATTTACTGTTGAAGAGTTAGATTTAAAAAATAAAACATGAAACATTATTATCCTTGCCGTTATAGCAACCAAGTTAGGCACTAGAGAGGAATGTGTGTATTATAATATAATAATAGCTCAGTGGCATTCAATAGATAAAGGAGAACATCTATTTTCATAATGTTTTCAGATCCATTTAACTGGATGGATTACTACTGATGTATTAAATATGTATAACAAGCACTAAAGAATTATTTTATAAATGTACCAAAATGCTGTTTGCAGCGAAAATAAAATATTAAAAAATTAGATCAAATGAAACGCACTACGATAGTTTACATGTTCAACATAAGTATCTATTTAGCTTAGTGGGGTACAGAACATTTCTGATTTTTCATCCCCCAAATTCAAATCCTCTTGAAAATAATGATAAATTACTTCTGATCTCCAGACTTGTGCAATATGTATTTTAAAAATGTGACATGTGACATACACTCATTAGTTTCCGTTTTTAGAAGCTATTAACCGATGAAATCACCTGGTTACTATGGGTGGCTTTTACTGACATCTCAATCCATATAGATTACAAATGCCTCTAGATACGGTAGATCTATTTTATTTAAATTGTGACAATTTCATCATAAATACAATTTTTATATGAATAATGAAATTTTAAAGACATAGTATAAATAAGCAACTATTAAATGGCCGTGGTCGTCACGCCACATGTGCGACTTTTGTGTTTATAAACATTGATTTTCCCACAATCTAATAATACACTCTTCCAATGGAAATCACAAGTTTGGGTTTCGACCTTGCCGCGACTTGCACTAATTACCACCGGTGACTTCTTCAATACCTTCCAACGACCACCGCCCTTTAATCAAATAGCTTTAAAACTTCTTTTGTGAGATTTCCACAAGTCGGGAATATCACGAAATTCTGTAACAGCTAAAATGTCATTAGTCATTCTGACCTTGCAAATTCCATTCCATTCCATAGTCAGTCCAAGCTGTGTTTGGTGTGAGTTCCATACAATGAATAAATAAACGTAAAGTAATTTGTTTATTTAGAATTTTTTAACGTATAATACACTAGCATGATGATTGTAGCGCTTTAAAATCGTCAAATTGCAAAAATTACTAGCAGTGAAAATTAAACTATTAACAGTAGATCAACAGTTTACAAACTGGTGTTTTTTGCAGTAAATACTAATCACGTACGTTATTTGGAAGGAATGTTGGAATAAAAACACTGAATTATTGAACTGGACACTCCAGTAATTTTCATTACATAGCATGGAACAAACCATTGTATTTTTAAAAAATAACTAATGACTTTTCATGGATGAGTTCATAGCAAAAACACATCTTTCATTCCCAAACTACTTACTGCCAATGTTCAATGAAAAAACACATTTTTGAACTTAGTCAGAGCGTACATGTTGTTACCATCGTTACCACAAAAGGGTCGTCAAAATATGAAAAGTAAGTTATTTAATACAGCATATACTGACTCCTAAGTGGCACATTCCAATGATAATAAATAGAAAATCCGCACAAATTGCGATATTAAATGACGGTTTAGTTGTTGCCGTCATTGAATGTAACCATAAACTGTTCCGGTTGATCAGCGGAGCGGACGGTGGCACTGGCAGACGACCCGCCAACAATCAATGAACAGCGCGGTAGCTACTGCTGGTACTCACATACGGTCACACTGATAAACTTCCGCGTATACTATGCACATAACTATACCATTTGCTCTGTTATTGTACATACTTACATTATATGGGCAATTTTCAAGTTGCCATCCACAGACGGTTCGAGTTTACGGAAGAAGGCATCGCCAGCGTTAGATCCTCGAGCTGACTTCGTCAAGTCCGAACTGAACGAGCCAGTCAGAGAACTGACGCTTGCTCTTTGTAATGCGAACATTTCACACGATTCTCTATTTAAAACACGATGACTGGTGTACAAGAGTCTTCATATACAAAATATGCACACAAAGAAACCCAGGTACTGACTACCCATGTATTAACTATCGGTGGTTGTTTGAAAACAACGACGTACAACCAAGAGACAACCGGTTCACGTTTCCAGTGAAAATATTTTATCTGCGCGTGCGCATATCGTTTATTTTGGGGTCACGGGGTCACTAAGGTCGCGCATTATGGCGTTGAACGGAATAACTTGATTGACATATGAAAATCGTAGCATAACTGGAAGCTAAATTATAAAAGTTATGTGTTAGTTGGAAATTATAGGCTTTGGTAATTATTTAAAACAACCGGACTTTCGGGCAACGGTTCTTCACCAGTTCGTGAATGGCAAATGGTTATAAACAGTAGTGATTTTTTTTCGATTTAACTGGTAGAGTTGGTCGTGCACATAATTGCAAACATGAATTGGCTTCGTAGTATTTGAAGTACTGTAAAATAATTTATTTTCGCTTGGAATTAATTTTCGCTATTTTCGTTGAATGGATGATTCAGTGAAAATAAAATCCAGCGAATATACTTTTTTTTTTTCCTATATTTTATTTTCGGCTCGTCAAAAATCAGTGAAAATAAATTCCATACAAAACAACCAAAAAGCGAAAATTAATTCCAGCTAAAATAAAGTAGTTTACAATATATCATTATTGGTCAACAGTGCATAGCGTTGTTTTTTGTGTGCTACGAAACTACATAAAATTAGACCAAATATTATGTAAACTACTAGTATTTTTGAAAACAAATTTTATAAAAGACCGTGACATTGATAAAACAATATTTATAGAAATATCCCTGTCTGTTTAGGTTCCTTCCGCTTTTCTCCAATTTTAATCGGATTTGACCAACCCTAGGATTCATCTTGAATCCCGTTCATTATTTTAGTATTACTCCGAGCTGGAAAAATTACCGCATAGAAAGTTGCACATTCTCTCGTATGATGGCGCACTGTATTCTCGCATGGAACGCAAGAGAAGTCGGCCAACGTATTAAAGTCGGACACTTACCAGTGAAAAACTCGGGTGACAGGAAATCGGCCAGTAATTTATATGGGCCATGACCGGTTACTTCTTTAGGCCAGCCATTAAATAATATGCTCTCATCTATGCATGATTTCTTTAAAGTTACAACGGGTGCTACTATGTGTACAACGATTAGGATTGCCCTATTTCATGGTTATCATAGTAACCGTGAACTGCACGGCAGTATGAGGGGGCTGCATATGTGAATACGTGTCAATGAAATATATAGGGTTTGATGCCACGTACTACACCTGTGGGATTGTTTCCGCCAGGTTCTAGGGAATGCACAAGGTGAGATTTCCCCTGTTTCATTAATCACCTAAAGCAAAAGCTGGTATAAGTCCTTTGAATACAACCGATAAACAAACAAATTGCAAATTGGCCACGCTTTCCGACTTTGCCTATGAAGCAGCTGGCTTCAGCT